TCCAGCCCAGACACCCCACCATGTCCTGCTGTGGCTCCTTCTCCTCCCAGAGCTGTGGAGGCTGCTGCCAGCCCTGCTGCTGCCGCGACCCCTGCTGCTGCCGCCCAGTGTCCTGCCATACCACAGTGTGCCGCCCTGTGACCTGCGTGCCCCACTTCACCAGGCCCATCTGTGAGCCCTGCCGCCGCCCCATCTGCTGTGACCCCTGCAGCCTGCAGCAGGGCTGCTGCTGCCCCATCACCTGCTGCCCCACCTCCTGCACAGCTGTGGTCTGCAGACCCTGCTGCTGGGCCTCCACCTGCTGCCAGCCCATCTCTGTGCAAGCTCCCTGCTGCAGGCCCCCCTGCTGCCAGCCTGCCCCCTGCCGCACCACCTGCAGGACCTCCCCCTGCAACACCTGCTGCTGAGCAGTGAGCTGAACACCTGGGGCAAACAGCCACCCTGTGGAAAATAGTCATGCTCCTATTTCTCTCTCTAACCTCCTGCCCTGAGGCACGGATGCCCTAACACCACCAGCTCGTGAATGGAGGCCTGGAGCCTTCCATTAAGACTCTTTGTAACAATCTTTGTCCTTCTTCCCTTCTTGGGTATAAAGTCTTTTAACATGTTTTTTTTTTTTTTAAATAAATTTCTCCTCTTTGGCCTCACAAATCATTACTTTGCTCTTTCTTGTGCCTTTTTAAATTATTTTAATTTATTCTTTGAGAAATTACTACACATTCACAACTTATGTTGATCAGGTCTATCTCCCACACTCCTCTTCAACTCTTTCCAGACTATCCTCCCCTCCTCCGGCCATTACCCTCTAACAACTTCATGCCTCCTTTTTGTTAACCCACTGAGTCCAATCCTTACTGCATTTATTTGCATAGGTAGTGGGCCAGCCACTGGAGCACGGATAACCGACCACAGGAGAGGAGTCTGTTTTCTTCAAACTCTTTGTTTTTTTTTTAAATTAAATCTCAAAGAACATGCTTTTGTTTTCGTTTTTTGAGACAGGGCTTCTCTGTGTAGCTTTGGAGCCTGTCTAGGAACCCACTCTGTAGACCAAGCTGGTCTCGAACTCACAGAGATCTGCCTGCTCTGTCTCCTGAATGCTGGGGTTAGAGGCGTGTGCCACCACCTGGCTCAAAGAAATTCTTATTGCTTACCACCTGCAAGTCACAGACAGTCTGCGAGAAACATTCAGTTGAGGTGTCAAGATTTCCCCCTCCAAAGTCTCACAAGCTCACACCCCTAGCTGGAAAAGTCATATGCAGTTAAAGACTGCTACTAAGAGAGAACCAGAATCTTCCCCATAGACAGATCGCTGCTCATCCGTACCAAGTGGTCATCTCTAAAACACACGCACACAAGCAACACACGAACACATGTAATAATCATAAAGAAAAAGAAAAACTAAAGCATGTCCTCTTCCTCATTTTTTGCTATTTTTTATTTCATGTGTTTGGGTGTTTTTTCTTGTGTGTTTGCCTGTTCACCACATGTGTGCCTGGTGCTTTCAGAGGTCAGAAGAGTGCATGGGATTCCCTGGAACTGGAGTTATAGGCCAGTGTTGGGAGCTGAAACCAGGTCCTCTGGTAGAGCACTCAGTGCTTCTAACCACTGAGCAATCGCTCCAGTTTAAATAACTTAAATTTTTTTTTCATTAAAAGCCTCTGGGGAGATGAGTCATATCTATCTTGATACAATTAAATAGAATATGAGAAATAGAAGTATACATATTATCATATGGTATCCACAAAGTCATTACTATTGTTCGGAAAGAATCAGAAAGTTTGGAAAATGTTAGTATCTTATATGAGTTAAGGTTTTGTTGCCCAGATTAGGAGAGCAGCTTTCTCATCGGTGGAAACAGTTTGGACAAAGGTATGGAAGGAAGGAACTCAAGGGTCATCCATACATTTTGGCTAGAGCACTAGGTCTATCAGAGCAACAGTAGAAGGACTACATTGAGAATCAATATGCTTTGCCTAGCAACCCATGGCTTTGGTAAGTAAATGCTAAGGAACTTACTTAAGCCATTTAAAGCCTTGGATCCATAATGACATGACAGAAGTTGGTCTATGGGAGTTTTTCGTGAAGGTAAAAAGGAGAAGGCTCAGTCAGTAAAAATGTTTGCCGTACAAGAATGAGAATAAGAGTTCAAAGTTCATCACCCATGGTAAGTTGAGACATGGTAGTACAGACCTGTAAGCCTAGTACTGGGGTAGACACAGCCTAATCAGCAAACCCTAGGTCCCCACGAGGGACTCTGTCTCAGGAAAAAAAATGGACAGTTCCTAAGGATGACACTTAAGGTTGAGTTCTGGCTTTCATATTCATGTGCATACACAAAAATCTGAACACATATGTTCACACATACAGAGAAGAGAGAGAGAGAGAGAGAGAGAGAGAGAGAGAGAGAGAGAGAGAGAGAGAGAGAAATACACAATGGAAATGACAAACACAGAAAACCAGAAGGTACATTAATTTTTTTTTTTTTTTTGGATTTTTGAGACAGGGTTTCTCTGTAGCTTTTGGTTTCTGTCCTGGAACTAGCTCTTGTAGACCAGGCTGGCCTCGAACTCACAGAGATCCGCCTGCCTCTGCCTCCCGAGTGCTGGGATTAAAGGCTTGCGCCACCACGGCCCGGCTAGTACATTAAATTTAAAGTGGGAGACAAGAAACAACTAGAAGGTAAACGTGACTGATTTCAACTCTGGGCTAAACTTTGATGGTCTAAAAATGCTTCAAAGGATTTTAACATTTTGATGCTTCTTCACTTTGTGTTTTGGATTCTTGTCTGTAGTATGTCCTATTCAACACCTCATGTTTGTATTCTTGACCTGCTTTTAAAAAAGTATTTAAAATAAAGGCGGTACACAAAGAGCTTCACTGGTACTCTCTGAACCTGGAAATCAGCATGTTATGAAATGAAAAGCACTGGTCTAGGAAAGGGAGTGGGTACTGTCTTCTCTTTGAGAACAAATGTTCATTTAACCTCTGCGAATTTATCTGTTCCCAGCCACGCTGTTCTTTTACCAATTGATGCTGAGGAAAATGAAAAGCCATTCCTACCGCAGCACAAATGTTCTGGTCCAGGGCTCGGAGACTGAATGGTTCTGTTATTTAACTCCTTTCCTTAATTAACTAATCTTGATGATACCTCACAGCTTCATGCACTAGAGCAAACTACGAGGCAGATAACTACACTCTTTCTTTCCAACCTGCAGGAACTAAATGAGCTTGTGATACTTGTACTGAAAAGAGCATTGGTTTCTACACCTCAAATATTAAGTGGTCAAAAGATAAGTTATTAGCTTTTCTTTCCATTATTCAATGATTACATGTAACAATTTTCAACTTCATGACTATCACCATGATTACCAGAGACCATACATCTTTACTGAAACTGGGATGTATAATACTCCAATGTAATCTGTCTAGAACAGAATCCCCATCTCATAAAAGCCAACTTTGTGTCTGTATTCATAGGCATGGGTTCAATAAGCCTACCACAAGAAGCAAAAGTGACTTTTGACCGCTCTGCTTTCATCATGTCCCCTCATGTAACCCTAAACACTTAGCAGAAAAATTACATTGCTTTTTCTGTTGACTACCAGGAATAACTTTAACTGCGTGTTTGCTAAGAGTTCTTCTAAATGGTTGCATCTGTACCTACTAATACATATTGATAACGCATGCAAACATTGCAAACCAGAAAAATAGTATTTCCTGATTCTTTTTGTCTCCTTGGCTCCTCTTTGTAAATTAAGCTGTTGTTCTCTGGTTCAATACCTTTTTTGCAGGGCATGTGGTTTAATAACATAAAATGACGTAAATTGAAAGCCTTTGAGGAACACTGCCCAAATGATCCATATAGTGTAGCAGGTGGGCCCGCTTGTTTATTCCCACCATCTGGCTAGCTTACACCTGAAATAACCACGCAGAAAACGTATTATTTAAAATACTGCTTGGCCCACTAGCTCTAGCTTCTTATTGGATAACTCTTATATCTTAATTTAACCCATTTCTATTAATCCTTATATTGCCACATAACAGTGGCTTACTGGCAAAGATTCAGCATGTCTGACTCTGGCGGCTTCATGGTGTCTCCCTGGCTCAGCCCTTCTTTTTCCCAACATTCAGTTCTGTCTTCCCTGCTTACCTAAGTTCTGCCCTCTCAACAGGCCAAGGCAGTTTCTTTATTCATTAATGGTATTCATAGCACACAGAGGGGACTCCCACATCACACACAGCATTAATTTTTGACTATCATAAGGAAGCATAAATTTCACTTGACTGTTTTGTGGGTGCTTTGCCCCCACTGTTTACAAATTTTAGCCTCTTCTTTAAATTAAATTGGAGTGCAGCAGGTTTTTTTCCATATACTCTCCTAAGTGATAAATAAATGTTTCCTCAAATATTAATGTCTTCAGTTTAGAGGGGCTCACAGAATCATGCAAAAAAAATATCTGGAGAGATCTGTGAATTCCTCTTAATGTGTAACTCACCTTTCTATGTGTAGCTTTCTATGAAATGGTGTGGAAACTGTGATCTTACCCATAAAATCAAAATAGACCCATAAAGATAAGCTTCTTGAAGGACAACCCAGGGTCAGTGATGCTTTTCTGAATATTTGAGATTTGGTGAGTATGTCCCCATAATTATAATTACAGGTGAGAGTCACTTTGTCAGGTGCTGTGACCACAAGCACAAAACCGAGGCCAAGACTCAAGAGTAAATCACGACTCTGTTTGGACACAATGCATTTAGCATGTCTACCTCCGATGAACATATATGATGAGCATTAGCTGAGCAACAAGGAAGCAACTATTAAAGATATGTTTAAAGTAACCCAGAAGGCCCAGAAAATCTGGTTTTAAGAGTAACAAGATAAAAATGTTACCTGTCACAGAGTGATTACCCAAGGTGTATAAAAGGCTGCAGGTAGACCAAGCAGTCAGAATTCAGAAACTCTTCTCAACTACACAGCTCTCAAACCAGCACCTGATATCATGGCCTGCTGCGCTACTAGCTTCTGTGGCTTTCCCACATGCTCCACCAGTGGCACCTGTGGCTCTAGCTGCTGCCAGCCCAGCTGTTGTCCAACCAGCTGCTGCCAGCCCAGCTGTTCCCAGTCCAGCTGCTGCCAGCCCAGCTGTTCCCAGTCCAGCTGCTGCCAGCCCAGCTGTTGTCAGCCCAGCTGCTGCCCACCCAGCTGCTGCCAACCAAGCTGCTGTGGAACTGGCAGTGGCCAGGAGGGTGGCAGTGGAGCCGTGAGCTGCCGCGTCAGATGGTGCCGCCCAGACTGCCGCGTGGATGGCACCTGCCTGCCCCCCTGCTGTGTGGTGAGCAGCACACCCCCAACCTGCTGCCAGCTGCACCATGCCCAGGCCTCCTGCTGCCGCCCATCCTACTGTGGACAGTCCTGCTGCCGCCCAGCCTGCTGCTGCTACTGCTGCCCTCCAAGCTGCTCTGAGCCCAGCTGTTGAAAACCTTCTGACAAGAATCTTGAGAGGACAACGCTTCAAAATGAACCAACGAGAGCGCCAGAAACCTTCTGAATTTCAGAATTGATAACTCGGCTATTATCACAGCCACATAATTTCCCAGGAGGTAAATTCATTTGCGGTGGAAGAGCCAACATCTTTGTTGGCTTGAACGCTGGCAAAAGCCCTGCAATGTGAAGAGGGGCATAGAATACATAACTATAAGTATTACCAGAAATATTTCAGTGGCTTATTGGGACTTGTATTTAATAAAAAGTATTTGATCTCTTCAATGGCAAAAAGTGATTGTCGATACTTTCTTTCCTTTGGAATTCGTTAATAACACTGGGTATTGGAACCTTTTCTTTATCTTTGCTTGTTCTTTTAATAATCCTTTTTCTTTGTTTCCCACTAAATGACCCATTATTTCTGCAACTGAAGGACATCATTGAAAAACACCACAACAATTAGAACGCTCACTTGAACAAAGTGGTCTTGGTGTTGCAAAAGGTCAATTTTACAAAGAGGAAGTTTGTATCATGTAGGAGTCTGAGGCATTCGCAAACCCTTCCAGTTACTCAAAACTGAGCCTCCATGTGATTCTTTCAGACATCAAAGGGTTGCTAAGGTGTAATGCAAAATGAAAGACCATCAACTCAAGATGGCAAAATAATAGCACTAGATGTTTCTAGTCATAGCTTGTAAGCCATGATCCATGACTCCTTGAGTAAGTCACTTCGCTTGCCTGAGCAACTATTTCTCATCTGAAGACTGAGTTAGGTGCCTTTCAGGGAGAGATGTGTAGGTCATCTAACAAACTGGTGACCTGCTAACAGTATCCTCAGAGAGCGGAAAAGGTTGCACACATTGACCCACTACTATTATATACTTTATTGTTGTCGTGATCGTTTTCACCCAGAAAGAGGGAATCTCAAATGAAGATATGCCTTGATCAGACTGTCCTGTGGGTCTGCCTGTAAGGAATTCTCTTGATTGCTAGTTGATGTAGCAGGATTCGGCCCACTGTGCGCAGTGTCAGCCCTGGGCAGGTGGTCCTGAGCTGTGTAAAAGAGCAATCTGAACCAGGCTGCAATCCCACAAAAAATGTAAGAAGGCTCCCTTTTCCCTTCATCTTCACCATCACTGCTTATTTTCTTGATCTTGGCCATTCTGAGGGGGGAGAAAAAGAAATATCAAAGTAGCTTTAATTTGCATTTCTCTGATTGTTACAGATGTCAATGCTCTTAAAGATATTTCTTAGCCAATTTAAACTCACTTTTGAGAACTGTCTGTTCATATCTATAGTCCATTTTATTTATTTATTTATTTTTTTGATTTTCGAGACAGGGTTTCTCCGTAGCTTTTTGGTTCCTGTCCTAGAACTAGCTGTTGTAGACCAGGCTGGCCTTGAACTCACAGAGATCCGCCTGCCTCTGCCTCCCGAGTGCTAGGATTAAAGGCATGCGCTACCACCACCCGGCTTCTATAGTCCATTTTAAAAATTAGGTTATTTGTTTTCTTGGTTCTTTGCTTTTTTAGTTCATCGTGTATTCTGGATGTTAATTCTAGATAGGAATACGGTCTCTATATTCTATCTATATTCTACCCCTAAAGGAAGAGCTCTAGGCAAGCAATGACTCCTGAAAGAGAGAATCAATTTTCTTCAGGGGCAGCTCCCTGATAAGTCATTCCATCCCAAGCAGTCAGCCCTAAACACAAGCAGGTATCAGCAGCACTAGAGACTCAACTCAATAAGAGATAAATTATCTTTTAAAAGAAGAGGTTATAAATTTGGGAGGGAGTGGGGGTAGGAGAGGAGTTGGAGGACAGAGGAGGATGGGTCAAAATGATATTAATACAATATTCCAATATTCATATAAGAAAATTTCAAAAACTAAAAAGAATTAAATTAAAAAAGACAACCTAGAACCAAAATAAAATAAAACTAACTAAGCCTAAGCTAATAAGCAAGCCAGTAAGCAACTTGGGTTGTTCCTGTGTGGCTTCTGCCTCAGTTTCTGCCCTGACTCCCCTCAGCAATAGACTGTGACTCTGAAGTACAAACAGAAATGAATGCTTCCCTTCCTTCAGTTGCTTTTGGTCAGAGTAGTGTGGGATATACATGTATATGTGTTGCTCTTATTGGTTAATGAATAAAGAAACTGTTTTGGCCTGTGATAGGGTAGAATAGAGCTAGGCTGGGAAAACTAAACTAAATGCTGGGAGAAAGAAGGCAGAGTCATGAGACGCCATATAGCCACCAGAGGGGAAAGACACGAGTTGCCATTTGGAACCTTGCTGATAGACCAAGAGCCTCAGGGTAAAATATAAAATTAAGGAAATGGGTTAATTCTAGATGTAAGAGCTATCTAGCAATACACTTAAGTGATTGGCCAAGCAGTGATTTAAATAGTGTAGTTTCTGAGTGACTATTTTGGTTCTCGGTGCCAGGAAATGAACAAACAATCTCCTCACAACAAATGGTGCCCAACATGCCTCCTACTATAGACAGAGTAGTCTTATCATGGCAGCAGCAAATCAAACCAGGACAGCCATCATTGTGAAGATTTTATAAGTTGCCTTAGAACATTAACGAGGCTGTGGTATTCTGCAGTAAGACTGTCTCTATCCATCATGCCCAAACTGAGAAAGCCGGAATGTTTGTTGTTGTTATCTCCCTTGGTAACACCTTCTAACTAGGGATCACTTTGGAAAATGACGAAAGAGAATATCAGTCTACCAACCTGTAGTTTTGTACCCATACCATCCCATCAAGTGCTGTGAAGCAGAATACAGAGCATAGTGTTGTTCACGTCTTCTCGCCCTTATTCTAATCTTCAAAGAGTGTTCTAAAGAAAAGCAAGTGTGAGACACAAGATGTACAATGGAGCTTCCATTCCATGGGATGCAATCTTCAGCCATAGAAGCCATGTGCTGAACTACAGGTCACGATTAGCAGCATTGAGCAGTGATTGTTGAAAGGTTATAGGGTATTCTGCTGAGGTGATTAAAAAAATTTGACATCAGAGGTCTGAAATGTATCATGAGGTTGAGAAGATGGCACAGTGGGTAAGAATGTTTGCTGTGAAAGGAAGAGGACTTGAGTTTAAATCCCCAGCGCCCACATGAAAAGCCAGGCTTGGCCACGCATGCTGGTAACCCCAGTGGGGAGTTGAGACAGACAGATCCCAGGAGCGCTTTGGTCATCCAACCTAATCAACATAGAGAGCTTTGGTGTCACTGAGAGATCTTGTCTCAGACAATAAAGTTGAGGAACTATCAAGATGGCTCGGTGTCACAAAATCTTAGCCACCATTATCCCCAGAACCCACATTAAGAAGGAAGAAAAGAACAGTCTCCACAAAATTGTTCTCCTACTGCTGCATGCACCGCATGGCATGTGCATACGCTCACGCACACACACATCACCACCACCACCAACAATAATGATGAGAGCAATAGAGGAAGATTTCCCATATCCTCCTCTGCCTTCTCCATATACACATACCTAGTAGTGTGCACCCACACACTCCTGTATGCATGGACCACACAACACACACATACACAAAATGCACTAAATGTCACTTTAGTATACGCTTTAAGACAGTTCGTTCATGCTATATGAGTTTTACCTCAATTTATAAAAAGTAAAGGAGTGAGGCTTCCTCTAATACCACTTCATCACAATTAGAAAACACCGCCTTGGAGCCAACATATTCCCAGGGAAAACAGTTTATCAGACCCATAGTGCATTCGTATGAAGAATGGCAAGATCCTTCTTCTGTATGAACACAGTTCCACATCCAGGCATAACCAATATGTCTGGGCTTAGTAGGCTTACAACATTGTAAACATCCCAAATCCTAATATATAGCCTGGATAAAAAAAGGTTAAGAGTTGACGCATCTTTTTCTTAGAAGGACTTGAACTCAGAAGCATCAAAAGGATGTAGATTGGTATTTAGAAAACTCAAGAAAGATCTTTTTTTTTTCTTTCTTTTTTTTCTTCTTTTTCTTTTTCTTTTTTTTCTTTTTCTTTTTTATTTATTTATTTATTAAATATTTCTGTCTCTTCCCCTCCTCCGCCTCCCCTTTCCCTCCCCTCCCCAAATCATGTCCCCCTCCCTCGTCAGCCCAAAGAGCAATCAGTGCTCTCCGTCCCGTGGGAAGTCCAAGGAAAACCCTCCTCCGTCCAGGTCTCGTAAGGTGAGCATCCAAACTGCCTAGGCTCCCACAAAGCCAATACATGCAATAGGATCAAAAACCCATTGCCATTGTTCTTGAGTTCTCAGTAGTCCTCATTGTCCACTATGTTCAGTGAGACCTGTTTTAACCCAGGCTTTTTCAGACCCAGGTCAGCTGGCCTTGGTGAGTTCCCGATAGAGCATCTCCATTGTCCCAGTGTGGGTGCACCCCTCGCGGTCCTGCGTTCCATGCTCATGTTCGCTCTCCTTCTGCTCCTGATTTGGACCTTGAGATTTCAGTCCGGTGCTCCAATGTGGGTCTCTGTCTCTGTCTTCTTTCATCGCCTGATGAAGGTTAATATTCAGGAGGATGACTATATGTTTTTCTTTGGGTTCTCCTTCTTATTTAGCTTCTCTAAGAACCCGAATTATAGGCTCAATGTCCTTTATTTATGGCTAGAAACCAATTATGAATGAGTACATCCCATGTTCCTCTTTTTGGGTCTGGCTTACCTCACTCAGTATAGTGTTTTCTATTTCCATCCATTTGCCTGCAAACTTCAAGAAGTCCTTGTTTTTTACTGCTGAGTAGTACTCTAATATGTATATATTCCATACTAAGAAAGATCTTATTACTTGATTAAGGCACGAAAGTCGGGGGTGAGAGGAAGTCCTTGAGGTTTACTTGTAGGCAGGTTGAGGCACAGAAGCGTGGATGCCCTAGGCAGGAATGGGGCATTCATTTGGTTGGGGCATCGACTTCCCATACTTTATCCTTCAGAAATAAGAGCGAATTAGATCAGACAGACTTAGAACATCA